CTTTTATTTCCATGGCTATGTAATATTATTCAGAAATCATGTATTCAACATAATTTTAAAGCTTTTGTGTTGTTGAGCACGCACGAAAAAAAAACTCTGCAGACCAGAATCGTCTTCAAGCAGGCATTCTTCCAAAATTTCGATTGGTTTGCTTATTTTCTGTTTTCTACCGCCGCAGATCACGTAGCTGAAGTTTCAGCAGAATGCTGATCTATGAGAAAACCTGAGATTCGAGCCGGCATCTCTCGCTTACAAGTGCGCTAAATTGAAAGGTACCGGGCACTAATTTACTCTAGATCAGTTTTTCATAGTACATTCTGCTATTTTCAAAGATTCTAAGAATATACCTCTCTCCGTCTGACAATGGCGCTCTCAAGAGTGCTGGGTAGAGATGTACTGCCTGTATGTAAGTAGTGTTTCGCTACACTCTGTGTGAATAGGTGAGATTATTGCTTTTGAGTTCAGCATGTTTTCCTCAATCCTGACAAGATATCGGAACTGTTCGAGCGAAGTAGGCTTTCGACAAGGTAGATGCACTTTTAAGACAGGGGGAAGATAAAACTTAAATAGTGGCAAACTTTCAAACTTCTTTTGTCGAGAAATCCAACGGCTGAATGGTTTTCGTGCACGCGCTACTTCTCAAAAATGTAGAACGTAACTCGCCTAAGAATGGATCTGTGGAAGCCAGCAGCCGCGGGAAAACTGAAGGCATTACCTCCAAAACGAGGCCTCGCGGGTCCCGTTTTCTTCTGCTAAACTCGCAGTGAGAATCTTTCGCTCCCGTCACTGTGGTCGGGAGCGTTCGTCTTTCGGCAAATGCTCTCAATTTGTTAGTTCTCGTCTATCGCTTTTTCCTTCACAAAATATAAATGCCCAAACGCGTAGAAAGGTAGTGGGAGGGCTTCAAAGGCTCAGAAACCAACTGCGGCTTGATAGCAGACGTCGCGATGAGTCTCGAAGCGCACACCTTTTTCAAGGAGCTCCATTATAGATGCCGTTTCCAAGTACATTCTATCGGGAATTCCAACCATCACAAGATGTTGACGCCAAATTCCGAACCTTACCGACTGACGTTCTTGCTGTTTTGAATAACTACAAACGGTATCGTCATACAAACTTAAACTACGAGCAATGCTGGACTTCAGAGGACTTGCGTGAGTTAAGATCAAATGGTTCCATACGCATGTGTTAGTGGTAAAGGTGGCGAATTCATATTTATGCCACAATCAATTGCCACAATACACAACCATGGCAATTTATGCCATGATTGTGTACAGCAAAATCAGCAGGGATCGACGAAAGGTTCATCAGTGGTCTCAAACTGGACAATCCAAGTTGTCCCGTTTTCTACAGCCTTTTGAAGACACACAATCTTGCTTCTCATGATATGCCATCGATGTCAAAATTCGTTTTATCATCGGTGGTGTTTGGGGACCAACCGATTGAATATCTTGGTTTCTAAAAAAATTGTGAGTCAGCTTTACCCATCGTGCCCATACCTGCTGAAGAACTGAAACGCGACACCATAACAATGAGCGCATCTTCATTCTGAATCCCTCTCATTCAACTGATCAATAGTTTGTTGAGCGAACAATAAAGGGCAGCAGACACCACACCTGGAAATTCAAAACTTTCCCCATCATTGCGCATATGAAATCGACAAATAGTAATAGCGCTATACAAGTGGAGTGGGCACGCCCAGCTTTTCACGCATGTCAAGTGACTGCCTTCACCCCCCACCCCAGATTGGCTACACTCCCCCTGGCTCACGACGTCCTCGATTCTCGTGACAGTGTAGTAGCGGGCAGCAGTCCCACCAGGGTCAAGCGTGCGTTGAGGAATCCTCGACAGGTCACAGGGGTATTGGCCCGCTGGGAGGAAGAGATCGGGCCCGATTGATGCAGTAGGATCATCGTCGGAGGACAAACATCAAGGATCGAATCGATACCAGGCCAGAGTATTTCCAATAACAATTGATTCCGCCCACACAAAATCTTCGTGATTTAGAGGTGTCCGCTTAGCAATTCTTACGAGGAGTGCTCAATTGGTCAGTCCGGCCATTTGTAATGAGGTGTAGTCCGCTGTACTCGCTGAGCTTCTTTATCTGCGGAACGATTCTCTGAAAGAAGTTACGAGGGATTCTTCTCACTGTGGCTTTCTCACTATGGCGCCCTCTACATCCTCGCATCCCGCTTGCCTCGCTCAAGTTGAGCCGGTGAGGAGCTCTGGGTGGGCCTGGTGGTGCAGTGGATAGCACGTTTGCTTCATATTGGTGAGGTCAGATGTTCAAATCCTTGGGCATGGCAACTTTTGCATTTTTCAGGGCTCCTCATACGAACCCAAAATGTGTTTATATTTGGTTATTTTGTTGATTTGCGTCCCCCTTTTACATCTGGAGAGTGCAGACTCTAGAATCTCCTTCTCGTGCTCATTTTTTAGTTCTTTATTGTGATGAACTTTGATACACAGAAGACTCTTAAATTAACAATTTCACACAAATGGGAAAATTCCATATACAGATTATAACAAATCTGAACAGAATAAATAAAATGGTTGAACATACGTTTGCTCACTCAAAGTTCCGAACTTGTCTAGTTACCCCATATGACCAATTCCACGTTTCTCTGACAAACGCCTCTGCAATACTGCTTTGCATCTGAACTGATGGGAGATTGCGATTGTCCCGGGTGTGATGAGTCTTTTGTTCGCTGTGCACACTGCGAAAAGCTGTTTTGTTTTGATCATTTTGTGAGAGACTATCATATTTGCTCGTATAGCTGAAATAACTTTTTGAAATTTTGTTAATTTAAGAGTCTTCTGTGTGTCAAAGTTCATCATAGTGAAGAACTGAAAAAATGAGCACGAGAAAGAGATTCTAGAGCCTGCACTCTCCTCACATTTTGGGTTCGTATGAGGAGCCCTGAAAAAATGCAAAAGTTTGCCATGCCCAAGGATTTGAACATCTGACCTCACCAATATGAAGCAAGGGTGCTATCCACTACACCACCAGTCCCACATCAAGCTCCTCACCGGCTCAACTTGAGCGAGGCAAGCGGGATGCGAGGATGTAGAGGGCGCCATAGTGAGAAAGCCACAGTGAGAAGAATCCCTCGTAACTTCTTTCAGAGAATCGTTCCGCAGATACCGAAGCTCAGCTACAGCGGACTATACCTCATTACAAATGGCCGGAGAGGTGATGTATTTTTTTGCTCTGGTTTTGCGACTTCCGTACCGCCAAAATTGGGAAAAATTATGTATCAAGTATAAGAGCTGTCGGTTTGGTTTTTTCAGTTGTTTTCT